TAGATGGCCCTTCTGGTCCATTCCAACTCTATCCTTCCTGGCTTCCTAGGGGATTCTGGGCGTTGCAGTCCACGAGTCTTAAAGGGGCCCAGGTTGGAGACCCCTGACTTAGATGGCCCTTCTGGTCCATTCCAACTCTATCCTTCCTGGCTTCCTGGGGAATTCTGGGCGTTGCAGTCCACGAGTCTTAAAGGGGCCCAGGTTGGAGACCCCTGCCCCAAGGGGTGGAAAAAGAGGGGGAGACGGAGCACCCAAGGCAAGCCAGTCGAGGGGGAGGGGTGGGATTGCGACCCTGGGGGTGGCTCACCAGGGCAGCTTTCTGCAATTGTGCGTCTACACGTGTGTCTTTCTTCTGGGTCCACCTGAGAGCTGCAGCAGGAAGCCCCATCCCCAGAGCGGCCTTTCTCAGCGGCCTATCCCCCTTTAGGATGCTGGGGCTTCAACTCCCAGGATTCACCAGGGCTGTATTCCCAGGACTGTGAATTCAGCAGGGCAGGCTGGGGAATTCTGGGAGTTGAAGTCCACCACACACCCTAAAGCAGCCAAGGTTGTCAAAAGACAGATTTAGCTGGCTCTGGTGGGGGATTTGGACCAAGCAGGGGGTCAACTCATCAAGTATTATAAAAATATTTATAAAAATATAAATAAAAAGCGTGGCCACTTGGAAGGCTTGTGGACTCCAACTCCCAGAGTTCCCCAGCCATCATGGCTGCTTGGGAGTTAAAGACCCCAAGCCTTAGAGCTGCCAAAATTCGGGAGACCCCCAGGATAAGGCCACGGAGAACCAATCGGGGCATCGATCTTGGCCAAGAGCAGCGTTTCGGACCGAGGGGGCAGAGAAGCCCTGAAGATCAGCCCCCCCGCCGTCCATCCCTAACGGGGCAGGGTCCACACCCCGAGCCCCTCCCCACTCTTACCGGGGTTGGCCCCCCCGCCTTGGGAGTGTCTCAGAGAACTGCGGGTGGCCGGTCGGTAGCCAGGCAGGCTCTTCAGCGCAGCGTGGCCGGAGGCGCCATCGGGCGAAGAGGCGGCCAGCCGGATGAGGGACTCCTGGGAGGGCAGGCTGGCCAGCGAGCGGGTGGAGGAGGAGGAGGAGGAGGAAGCCACCGCTGCCGAACGCAGGCGGGTCTTGACCGACTCCTGGCCGCTCTCCCCCGAGCCGGAGGACCGCAGGCTGACGAAGGACTCGTTGGTGCTGTCCAGGGGCTCCAGCTTGGGGTGCTTCTGCAAGGCAACCCAAACAGGGTGAGGTCACACCCCCGAGGGGGCAGAGGCGGGGGGGGGGCCCACACAGCCATCGGCTCCCTGGCTCCCCCCTCCTTCGGGGTCCACAGCCCCCCTTCCCCCCTTACTTTGATCATGGTAATGTTGATCAGCTGCGTGGTGCGCCGGCGGCCCGAGAGGGCCTTCCGCCCAGAGTCCAGGGTGATGTTGCCGATGGAGTCGATGCTGTTCTCCAGCTTGGAGCGGGAGCGCGTGGGGATGGGCGTGAAGTAGAGGCTCTCCAGGGACTCCCGCTTGTGGGGCAGCGGCTTGGACGACTCCACGGGCCCCGACTCGGACAGGGAGCGGCGGCTCTTTTTGCTGGGGGGGAGCAGAGAAGCGAGAGGTCAGGGCCGGGCAGAGGCTTCCA